TGTTTGAACTCAGTTGAGGTGGAAGCGTTCAAAACAATGGAGGAAACAGAAATGGACATGAGGTCTTCTTCTTCTCATCGGAAGCGAAAGCACGAATCACGTAAGTACTATATATATATAAATGTTGGTATTTATGAATGCGCCGACAATTCGCTGTTCGTCTACCAGTAAAACTTCAATTCCGGCCTCGCGAAAACAACCACGCCACGCTTGGCCAGTCAAGTCCCGCGGTCCTACAGCTGTAAGCTACTATAGCTAGCTATGAAAGATCAAGGCCGCAAGTCGCACTGATGGTGGTTTTACCTGGGATTGTTTGCCCAAGGTGGCAAAAGTTGGCAAAGTAGCTCGAAATATTAAAACTACCATACACTCGATCGCTTTCCGGCGATCGCGTCGAAAGCTGGGAAATCAAAACCACCAGCTACGTATACCAGAGGCAGCCCAAGCTCACTATCAGAAAATCGGTGAACTTGGGCTGCTGTGCGTATACAAGAAATGAAAGTTAATATCCAAAAGATTAATTTTTCTGGAAAACAAAGTTAATTCAAACCAGGAGCCCATTACCCTTAGTAATGGGCTCCTGTTCAAACTAAGTATTTGATTAAGGGTCTATTAAGCATAGCATTTTCTTATTTGTTTGCTTATTTCAATTTATAGAAGACGTCATTTTCAAAAAACGAACAAACGAATCGGGACTTCGAGACCCTTAACCTTGCAAAAAATTGAGACTCCGAGACACCTTCGCATAAAAAACGAGACTGCGAGACGCACATAACCGCTGAAAAAACGGGACTGCAAGACCTACGACTAAAATTTTGCGAGACCCAGCGTTTTTGAAGGACCCTATATTACTGAACCGATTGTAAAAGATTCCCTCTTTGAGAATGAAAGGCTGGAGATTTGCTTTGTAACATAAGTCTGCTATCTACAGATAGAATTACAGAGTGTCTAGAATTAAGTAGGAAAATCAGGGCGCTGGCCAAGATATGTCGATTTTTAGTTTTGTGTTGGAAAGAGAGATCTGTCACCGCTGACATCCGCATTGTGGTTTCCATTTAAAGGATTTTTTAAATATATATTCTAGGTTATTTCAATCGAAATAAAAATCCAATTTCCTTACTTTTCGCTAAATATATTAATCCCACTCACAGTCGGAAGGCAATGTGAAACGTAAAGCGATACGTTACGTGTGAGTACACAGTTACACAACAACCTTTTGAATAAGCGAAATGTGACTCTTACCTCGCAGCATATGACGGTGTTGTGTTACACAAGTTTTATTTCATGGGGGTTTGTACTAGGCAAAACCCATTCGTAATTTTCGGTGGGTCTATTTTTTCTTCCATCCCGTGCTTTATTCATGTAACATTCATAGACTTCTTAACTTTTTAAGTTGAAAAGATGTCTTAACTTTTTAAGAATTAAGATTAAAATTTGACGCCAAAAAATCACTCAGCCATGCAAGGTCAAACTCTTGGGCTTGGTCTGTAATCCCTACATTTCGAGCGCCTCACTCCAAGATCTCTCAGCGGTGCACTAGCATGAAATTTTTCACTGGTTCTCTTTGACTCGCGGGACGGACTTCCCAGAAAAAGAGGCACTGCTCGCTGTCAAACACAAAGCGAATCTTGTCACAAAACTCGTGTTCAAACCACAGGCAAACTACACTATGTGTTCGTGTTTGATAATTGTTGACTTGAGACGAACGAAATCTATGAGGATTATAAATAAAGCTCTGAAAATTGCATGTCTAAATTACATCTCGGTTTGAACATATTAATATAGTTGAATGAAATGTTATCGACTCATTTGCGTTTTATTTTGTTGTTTATTTTTCGTCCTTATGGGCTGTTTAAGGTGGCCGAACACAGTTTTCGCGAGCACTTTTGCTGATGCAATTCAGCGCGCGCACAAGGATTGTAAAAACAAAAAAAAAAAAACATGCTGTCACTAAAGCGGTCATATTATTTACTCACATGTACCCGCCCTATCTGTGATATTTTTCTCTATAGTTGGCGCAGTGTATTGATGGCTTTAATCTTTTATTACGAAGATATGTTAGAAAAGTTAACGGTGCAAGGAACCCAGCAATCCTCAGCTTTTTCGTCGTCACCGAAAGAACCCAGTTAAATGCAGCGCATGCGTAGTAGGTAAAAAAATTGCCATTGAATGGAAAATTGCTTTCTGGAAATATGCCTATTTCTTGAGAATCACCCATTAGAATTTTACGAAATTTGGCACGAAAATACTTTAGGAAATGCGTAATTGAGTATCGAAAAAAACTGATTTTAAACAAAGGACATTCTAGATAATCGAGTGAATCTTCAGCAAGGGATAATTACAGATCTCTCTGTTAAATTGTTGGCACAATGGTGTTAACTTGTGAGTATCGTTACAAGCTCGTTGCATGCAAATTATAAAGAAAATCTAATGACAAGATTTTCTACAAATAAACAAAAACAATTTTAAAGGCCTGTTTATATTTATTCATGTCACCATGGCAACGGCACATACGTCAGCTTAACTATCAAAAACCAGTAGATAGCGCTATTTAAGCAATAGCGAAAATCCCGTACAGGCCTGATTTTTTTCAGGTCTGATTTTCGCTATTGCATAAATAGCGCTATCTACTGCGAGGATCGTGCATCATACGTATCTAATACCGCAGTTCAAAATATATGAACTTCATATATTCATTGTATCTCATTTATCACTTTCACGGGTTTATTACGAATCAACTTAACGGCCTGCTCCCAGTTGGCTTGTTAGCTCAATTGGTAGAGCGCTGCACTAGTATCGCAGAGGTCAGTGGTTCGAGTCCCGTACAGGCCTGATTTTTTTCAGGTCTGATTTTCGCTATTGCATAAATAGCGCTATCTACTGCGAGGATCGTGCATCATACGTATCTAATACCGCAGTTCAAAATATATGAACTTCATATATTCATTGTATCTCATTTATCACTTTCACGGGTTTATTACGAATCAACTTAACGGCCTGCTCCCAGTTGGCTTGTTAGCTCAATTGGTAGAGCGCTGCACTAGTATCGCAGAGGTCAGTGGTTCGAGTCCCGTACAGGCCTGATTTTTTTCAGGTCTGATTTTCGCTATTGCATAAATAGCGCTATCTACTGCGAGGATCGTGCATCATACGTATCTAATACCGCAGTTCAAAATATATGAACTTCATATATTCATTGTATCTCATTTATCACTTTCACGGGTTTATTACGAATCAACTTAACGGCCTGCTCCCAGTTGGCTTGTTAGCTCAATTGGTAGAGCGCTGCACTAGTATCGCAGAGGTCAGTGGTTCGAGTCCCGTACAGGCCTGATTTTTTTCAGGTCTGATTTTCGCTATTGCATAAATAGCGCTATCTACTGCGAGGATCGTGCATCATACGTATCTAATACCGCAGTTCAAAATATATGAACTTCATATATTCATTGTATCTCATTTATCACTTTCACGGGTTTATTACGAATCAACTTAACGGCCTGCTCCCAGTTGGCTTGTTAGCTCAATTGGTAGAGCGCTGCACTAGTATCGCAGAGGTCAGTGGTTCGAGTCCCGTACAGGCCTGATTTTTTTCAGGTCTGATTTTCGCTATTGCTTAAATAGCGCTATCTACTGCGAGGATCGTGCCTCATACGTACCCCTTCTTGTATTGGTGGTAGCGCCTGCGGGCAAGATGAGGCGAATCCTGAGTTCTGATTGGCTTACAGAGCGGGCAAGATGAGCCTATCTTGCCCGTCCAGGATTTCCCGCTTTGATCCAGCGTAAGAAAAGAAGAAGAAAAGGAGCGGACTTAGAAAGTTTGTAACTTTTGGATAATAGCGACCTTAAGATTCAGGACGGCGAGCGAGGACGCCTGCAAGGTTTGGACGGCGAGGACTGGGTCGAGGGCCCGTCTCGCTCGATGCACAAAAAAGCTTAAGATTCTTGTGGACTTGGCAGCCATTTTCATTCGACGACGAAGCCTTAAAAGCCTTAAAAACTTTCCTCTTAGGTTTCTTGTGCTACAGACACAGTTGGCTTTCTTTCCCGGCTCTCGAAGTAAACAAGTCGTTCTTGATTCTTATGAAAGCGAAATGTTTTACGTAGATATTAAATCCTTAATTGACCAAGCTTGTCGGTCTAAAATGCTCAATATTAGCCTGGTTCGACTTCGTCTTGGTCCATAAAAACGCAAAAAAAAAAAAAAAAATTAATTCGGCCAACATCCAGCCGTCTTAACCTCACGCTCGGTCAATCACGCATACATATCTCGTTCATTCAAAAGCTTCTTATAGTGGCAACACGAATCATGTTTCATTTTGCTTTTCGGGTTCCTTTTCACAACAACAAAAAAAACAGCCTGAGCCCAAAATTTTAGATTTCCAGATGAAATATCTTCTTCAGACCAAGATTATTATGATTAGTGCAAGCAATCAACGCCTCACACGGATCCTAGAAAAAACGTAAATGAGGATTTAAATTTTCTTTGAATTGAAGGCTTTTGCGATATTATATCATGTTCCCTCCATGCATGCAAATTTTGCGACCGTGACTCTATGCCCATTGCTTAGGCCATTCCTCAACAGTTCTCCCTATACGTTCCGGTTTTTGTAATTATGTAATACCATGATACCTAGCGTGCTCTTTCCTCGCGCGTGGCGAAGCGGTCGTGAAAGAAAATGTGCTCAAACTTTGATTTCTCTCCGCCTTAATATTGCCTCGTCTCAATCATTTCGTAGGATTGTTTTCTCGATTTGTTTTAGCTCGTTTGCGATCAAAATTTTGTTTTGCAAGGTAACTCCAGCCTTGCATCGTGTACAGGTTATTACGGCTTGAATGAATGAATGAATGAAAGCCTTTATTTAAAGAGGGTAGCACTTAATAGCCAGAGGCTAATAAACTTCTGGCCCTCACAGATTACACAACTATATACGATCAGATGAATATGTAAGCTAAAATATGTAAACATTTAAAATAAGCTTTTAAAATAAGACAAGATTCAATTAAGAAGATATTATTAAATAGTAAAATGATGCAAACATTGTTGTTCCTTAAAAATCTTGGCAAACATGTTCTTTTTAAAACATGCTATACCGGCAATAGAGCATTTTGATTGATTGATTTTAGTTATTGGCCCTCTGACTGCCCGAATCGTGTAATAAATCATCATACTGAGCATGAAGTAACTAATTGCACAAGGGTACTTGTATGTAGTTTTGGTCATAAGGATATCTTATCTTCGTTCATTCTAGGGAATATTCTCCATGGCTTCTGGAGCTGCACAAACATTCCATTCCACTAAGGAGACAACTAATTACGCCCGATTATGCCGGCTTCTGGTTGATGTCAGTTCACAGGTCCTGAGAGAGACTTTTGACAAGAAGCGTCCACCAGGAAAGCTGGATACAGTTTTGTCAAGTCCTCCAGTTCACAAAGCTCTACAACTACTCAAGAAAAAAAAGGTTTTGAACCCATCCCAATGGGGAAAACTGTATCCTGCGATCAAATCTTCAGTTTCATCGCAGCATTTCGATATCACTCTACTAATGGTTCTGCTGAGGAATATCTGTGGCCTTGTTCCCCCGGCAACCGGCTGGAACACACTTCCTCCTGCAGCAGACACAACCCTCGAGGCAGATATCATTCGTATCAAATATTACAGAGACAAAGTTTATGGCCATGCTATTGAGGCCTCAGTTGATGATGCATCATTCAATCAACACTGGATGGACATCCGAGGTGCATTGGTGAGACTGGGAGGGGCAAGATACCAAGGCGATATCGATAATCTAAAAAAGGAAGGGATGGACCCTGAAATTGAGGAACATTACAAAGAGCTTCTTAAACAATGTGTCATGGATGAGGTGAGCATCAAGAAAAGATTGGATGAAATTGAAAACTTCGTCAGGAACCTGGAGGAACGGAGAGAATCCAAATTAAATCCTGAAGGTAACGGAGAGTAATGTGCCTGAGATTAAATGTTAGGCTGGTAAAATTGAAGATGGATTGAAACAAATCGGATGATGACAACATATCATTGTTTAAGTACTTTTTGGATGTGTTAACATTGCTAAAATTACCTGGCATTGAACAAAATTTAACAATAAATTAACAATTTCAAAACGTTTATTAAGTCCCTCCTCCTTGAAATATATGTACTGGCGTTATCTACCAATGAACAGTGATCAGTTCTAGTAGGGCTTAGTGGATAAGGCCCTTATTCCCATAAAGAGAGGGAATTGGTTATCTGATGCAGCGGTCCTTGGGGGCGCGTAGCTTTCTTTACTATATGACTAGTGGATCAGTTGCTATCCCCCTGGTCACTGCATCCATTTCAGTACCTCTCCCACCATGTTGATGCAAGTCTAACATTTGCTTTTCAGCTGTAGCAGCGTACAGAAATGCATTGAAAGAATCAATCAAAAGCCAAACTGAGTTCCACACTGTAGCCTCTCCCACTTTGTCTAAGGTAAGAACAGATGACATATTCACAAGTATTCTCATACAACACGGACGAAAACCAGTAGAAGACCTTGATGTGGAAAGAAAGGAACACCTTCATCAGTACGGTCAAGTGAGTAAAAAACCAATCAAACACTGTCAAGATATTTTTACTTCTGATACCGATCGTAGTGCGGAAAGGGATCCCAAATCTGTTCTAGTCACTGGGAAAGCGGGAATTGGAAAAACGCTGTTTTGTCAAAAGTTAATTCGAGATTGGGCTTACGACAAACTGTTTCTATCGCAACAAAATTTGCGCATTCCTGATTTCAAGTTTGCTTACCTGCTGACATTTCGTCAATTGAATTTACTCGGAAACAACTGCGTTACCCTGAGGGAAATCTTCAACAGATCTTCAGTGCTAGACGACCGCTCCAGTATCGACGACTCTTTATTTGAGTATATTGTTGAGCATTCTGGAGAGGTTTTGATCATCATTGACGGGTATGACGAGTATGCACAACAACATTTTATCGCAAGAGATGTGGATGACCGGTATCCGAATGACGCTCATGAGAAAATGCCAGTAGCAGCTCTGTGTGCCAAATTAATCAAAGGGAAAATCCTGAGAGGCTCGGTTGTCATGATGACATCAAGACCCGATGAGTCTGATGAGATCAAAGACACAATTGCTTTTGACCGTTGCGTGGAAATTACAGGATTTTCCGAGCAACAAGTAAAGGAATACATCGAGAGGCATTTCCAAGAAAATGAAGTTATGAAGAACGTTATAATGGATCACATCACAAAGAATGACAATCTTGTCAGCTTTGCCCACATTCCAGTTCTCTGTTTTCTGATGTGTTCTTATTTTGAATATATCTTAAAGGAATCGATGAATACTGACGCTCTCCCCGTCAATATGAGTGACATTTATTTTGAAGTAGTTAATATGTTTTTGAGAAAACATTGCAAAAAGAGAGGAACCCCTCCCAAAGTAACACTGGAGAAGTTGTCAAAGTTGGCAGCTGATTTTCTCTCGGAGAATAAGTTTCTCTTCGCTGTCGAAGATATGAATAACTTTGCTCCCGAAGAAGTCGAAAGTTTGAGAGCAAGCGGCCTCCTTCATTGCGGTCCTATTTTTAGGAAAACATTTTCTGAAACGACCAAGTACTTTTGTTTCACACATTTAACTCTCCACGAGTACCTAGCAGCTCAATGCTTTGTGGAGAGCAAAAAAATCCCCTCCCTTGGGGATGTGTCAGAAATGGTATTCATATTCATGTCCGGAATCTTATCAAAGCAAAACGACACAGCTTTAATGCAAACGTTGATCGAAAGTCTCGATCCGCAGTCCTCGAGAAACCTGCTAACTTTAAAGTGTCTCACAGAGTACCAAGACATAGAATTTGCGCAGGGGACAGTAAAGAGACACTACAGTGGATTCTGGGACCATGATGGAGACATTAGATTTGAGAAGGTGGTTAATTTAGACTACATTGCTGTGTCTTTTCTGTTAGATGTCATTAGCTCATTGAATGTTGTGGAAACTTCTCGAAAGAATCAAACATATCTTCAACAGACACGTATGCCGTTGGTCAAACGGCTGAATCCCTTAAGGTGGACGTGTTTTAGAAGGAATGCAGAGCAAACCGCTGGTAGGAATCAGCCATCCCCTTATCACTCACCAATACCTACACGGTTAACAATCAGGTGGGTTTTTCTATCTCAGACTGGACTAAGAAGAATCTGCAAAGCGCTTCAGAATGAGTTCTGTCCCATTACTGGACTAGTCCTACAAGGTTTTGGGTCTTTTTTCGAATGGGTCCTTATAATTAGAGAGATGTTGCCACTATCTAATTTACTTGAACTGCGTTTGCTCAGTTCTCGGGTCACCGATGCTGGTGTTGTCAGTCTATGTCAAGCACTGCAGACAGCAACATGTCAAGTCACCACATTACATCTGAGTGGTAATCAGATCACCGATGCTGGTGTTGCCGGTCTATGTCAAGCATTGCAGACCGAAACATGTCAAGTAACGGATTTAGATCTAAGTAGAAATCGTATCACCGATGCTGGTGTCGTCAGTCTATGTCAAGCATTGCAGACAGCAACATGTCAAGTCACCACATTAGATCTCAGTAATAATCAGATAACCGATGCCGGTGTTGACAGTCTATGTCATGCACTGCAGACAGGAACATGTCTTGTCAACACATTACATTTAAGTTGTAATCAGATCACCAATGCTGGTGTTGCCAGTATATGTCAAGCACTGCAGACAGCAACATGTCAAGTCACCACATTACATCTTAGTAACAATCAGATCACCGATTCTGGTGTTGTCAGTCTATGTCAAGCACTGCAGACAGCAACATGCCAAGTCACTACATTGCATCTTAGTTGGAATCAGATCACCGACGCTGGTGTTGTCAGTTTATGTCAAGCATTACAGACAGCAACATGTCGAGTCACCACATTAGATCTGAGAATGAATCGGATCACCGACGATGGTGTTGTCAGTCTATGTCAAGCATTACAGACAGCAACATGTCAGGTCACCACATTACATCTGAGTTGGAATCAGATCACCGATGCTGGTGTTGTCAGTCTATGTCAAGCATTGCAGACAACAACATGTCAAGTCACCACGTTACATCTGAGTGATAATTATATCACCGATGCTGGTGTTGGCAGTCTTTGTCAATCATTGAAAACGACAAATTGTCAAGTCAGGTCATTAAATCTGGATGGAAATAGTAAGATCACCAAGGCCGGTGGGAAGCTCCTTCGAAATCTGTTGAAGAAACAATCTCATCTTGACTTGACCTGTCATCCATACATATAGATGAAGTGACAGATCACAAGTGCAGCAACATTGATTTACATATCAGCTGAAAAAACTAGGAAACAAGTCAAAGTAGGGTTTAAATGAAAAGCACGAAAATTTATTGCATATTCCATATCATTATTTTGGATAACCAGACTTTTATAATGCGCATGCCCAGGAGTACAGTCAAGCGTTTCTGCGGTTGGCGATCTGTAAAAGTAAACTTGGTGTTCCGCTAACTTTTGTTGCGTTTTCAAAGTAGAAACTCCGTTTTCAGATTTTTAAGGCAAAGTGTAAATGAGGGCTTCTTTCAGTTTGCTAGGATGTTAATCTGGACACACACATTGTTCTCTTCATTGTTGCCTTCTGTTTCCATACAAGAAAAAGTTTCGGCTGATAAAGTGTATTAAAAATCTACTGATTTCGTTTTCGGATAATTCAATCATTGCTACATCAAAAAAAAATTTAAACAAAACAAAAGCAATTAAAAACCATTTCGCTTTAAGCAAAGTACTTCTTTGTGAAATGTCTCTAAGCGTTGAAAAAGATTCTATGAAAATATAAAGTGCTAGCAAAAACAACGGATTCGCATAACAAGGTGTTGACACATGTATCTCTATTTATCCAAATGTTGGAACCCAAGCCACTTCTCAGCTAATTATCTTAGCTCCTTCCCAGGAAACGAACGAAGCAGCTTATCATTCCGCCAAAACACACAAAGGCAGTAACGTCAGTGACTTCGATCGCAATTATAATGCTATCGTTATCTGCCGCTTCTTACTTCACTTTGCTCCATTACATATGCTACAAAAGCAACCATTTGACCTTTATTACCTTATTATAACCCAGTGTGCAAAAGATTTGTCATCAACAAAGAGCGAGTATAAAGGGTGCGAACTGAAATATTAAAACGGTGATCACTCGAACGCGTAGTCTGTATCAGTGACCCAAGCTTCCCCCGATTAAAATGTAACTTCTCCTCGCGAGATCAATAAAAAACAACAAAGAAAGAGAACAATGATGTTCGAAAAGTAACCACAACAATAGTACCTAGTTCTAACCCAGAGTGTAAAAGTTCGTCATCTGTGTTGTCATTCCAACGTGCAGCTGGTGCTAATAATCCAAGGCCCCGCCCCTCCCCCTCCACACTCGAAAAAAAAAAAAAAAAGGAATGTGTCGAGATATCTGTGTAGAAACCTTACCTCTTCTGATTAAAACATAGCATTTTCAGAGATCGATACATTGTTAAAAAAAAAAATACAAACTAAGAGTCAAACATAATCCAAACAAGCCTTGGGAGTAAAACTGCTGAGCTTTGAGAATAAATATATTGAGTCAACGATGTTACATCCTCTTTGCTCCCGATGCTGGATCGTATCATGATTCACTTGATAAGAAGCCACTCCAGTTTATCACATCGTGTATAGGACTGGGTACGAAAGGAACAAATCTTGCTTTGATCTTAAGTAGGTGGCAACTAAAGAAGTTCGATATCAGTTACGATTTTAGTAGCAGGTCAGTGATATCCAGTTTGCTAACGAGAGCAGTGCTTTTCTCAACGGCGTCCATTGGGAATATGAGTGTTAGTGATGAAAAGTGAGAAACATTTTGTTACAGGGGTAATGAGTATTTGGTAGAAAATGGAATAACGTTTAAATTGTCTTCTCACAATGAAGCCTGTAGCAGAGCACAATTTGAAAATCGTGAAAAGCTCTAGATTAAGCTACAAACCTTATTCTTGCTCCTTTCTCCGTCATCTTCGTAAATGTTGATGAATTTGTGGTAAATAGATAATCGCAATTGTCTTTTGTCGTAGAGTATCTCAGTGACTCACCAATTCCTGATGGTCCTCTGCTTTCATTCACATCGCTTAGCAAGCACCCCACAGGCTTTTCATGAAGTCGGCTAGTGTCCAGCCCACCACTTTCATAAATGGCTTCCGGATTAATATTCTTTTGTTTAAATTTAAATTAGNGCGACAAAATGACAAAAAGCCCTGATACCAACGTGATAACTTGTTTCCGTGTGAAATAAAACTAAGAAAGGGTGCGTCATTCTCGAAGTGTCGTTTGTTCTACTTGAAAGCTGTTCGTTGTAGTCATTTACTTATAGGTGGTTTGACTAATTATCTGCTGAGGTTTTTTTACTGAAAAATGGAGGTCACAAGGTTAGGATATCGAAGGTAAAAGCCTTTAAATACCGTTCTTGAAACGTCCTGCTTTGCATAACTACATACGCATGATTGCTTTCAGGGAATATAAAAAAGCTCAAAATGTTTATCTTGTATGTCACTTTCTCGACTGTACTTGACGCCATTCCTTCTCGAAACTGACTGAAGGTAATAAGCAGCTTGTTGAGGGATCAAAACTTGGCCATAAGGGACAGGAGACTTTGGACTCTTTGTAAGTTGGTGATCTGGCTTTCGGTCCACAAGGTAAGACATTGATGAATGGATGAGTTTCATTTTCGAAAGGAAATCCATTACTCTAAGTTCTTTCCTCATTTTCAATTTCGTCTTGTTTTCAACTTTATGATCGTCGATACTTCGGCTTTCCACACAAAGAATAATCTAACAAAACGAAGTAAACGGGCAGTGGGACTCTAGCAAGGAAACGATGAAATGGGAGTGTTTTGTCAAGGTTGTTCGAAAGCAATCGCGAGAAATATAGCATAACTCGGCTATTTCATGTACTAAATTGTTTACGTGATTTTATGTGTTCACATAGTTTCGATTACATACAAGAGTAAAAGGCGCAGCCATCGAAAATGTGTTCAAAGTCAATATGAAAGAGGCTAATTAATTATATTTATAATCTTTAATATTTTGCACCTAATTCATCGTTCGCCGGTTGACGGTGATGCTACAAGTCATGCTTGTTGCACAACAATCTGAGGCTCCACCAAGAACGAAACTAATGAGAGTTTTTTTGATGATTTTAAGAGGCTTATTTGTATGAGATACTACAT